TAATTTTTTGGTGTACTAATAATAGAACGGAAATATTATTTTACGGATATTAAAAAACAGTAAAATGGACATTTTCTTTTAAATATGTGGAGCCGTTTTTATGAAGATGGTGATTAAGCGCTTAAGGCTAGTGACCGGAAGTTTTGCAAAAAATTTTTTTTTGTTGAAGTATATTCGAAATTTGAAGCACATTTTCACGTTTCTCCAGGGGAAATATTTACATTCAGCGTTATCGTGCAAGATTGTATTGTACATTTTTAACATAGAGGAAAAGCAAGTTTTCAACAAAACAAAATGGAAAAGCCATGTAGAAGCGTTGAACAATAGATTGGAACGTAATACTAGGAAACAAACGGAAATAGATATGAGTCATTAAGGAAACGAGGTCTTCAATTCCGCTCTTTCAATAGAATTGCAACCTGATACTTCCCAGACTATGACCTCTCATTCACAGTTACAAGATGAGTTTTGTAATACATGTGTGATGTAATCCCAGCCTCGAAAACTTCCTTAGTTCTTACTCCCTATCGTGAAGATAGGGTCTCCCTACCGCGAACGAAATTGTGTTCTCTGCAATACTTTTATGTCGCAGTTTTCACCACGCTAAGTTGGTGACGAGACACCTGTCCCTCGGCCTCCAAGACTAACATAAAACCACCTTCAGTCTGGGCAACCCATTATTTCCAACTCATTTTTATCGCAAAAAATGTTGTTGTCTAATATTTTCATTGAAAAAAGAAAAAAAAACAAAGAGCAAATTTAGAGATTTTAATGAAGAAACTGACTCACAATGAAATTGTCGAAGAGGCATTTATTGAACAATTGCTTCTAAAATACCTTCAAGAGAATCATTTGTGCCTCTTTGAATCTGCAAATGGTACATCTGCAGGATAAGTTGGAACGACGAACTCTTGCCACTGCAATGTCTCAGTCAGGGATATCATAGGATCCGTCCCGTTGGTGACGGATTTTCGACATTAACTAGATATTTAGGTCGAATTCAGCCGTTACTTTGAGGATAATTCAATCTGTTGGCAGCTCTGATCGGTAGTTTTCCGTGGTTTCTCCGACCAATACCCGACAAATGTTGGAGAAATTCCTTAACAAGCGGACCAAACACCGTGAGGTGCTTTTTTCCTCATTCTGTCGCCTACTCTCCCCTTATACACACACGCACACACACAATCTTATAGCTTGTTCCAGTTGGCGGTGCTCCAGTGGTAGAAATACTTGTAGGTAGGAAAGCACCCGCAAGACGAAGTGTAGGTTGTCGCCGGGTCTCACGTTCTGAGAGGAACACTGCCACAACCTGCGATCGAGAAAGTAACTACTCTTACGGGACTTATTACCATAGGATATAACGTTCTAGGGAAAAGTTAATCATATAATCGAACATTATAAATTTTCACACGCAAACTAACATACATTGCATGCATGCTATCATTCTTTCTTCTTTCTCTCTCTGTAATCTTGAGGAATTTAAAAACGCTTACTGAAACAAAACGCACGAATTTTAAAGCGGTCACTTGCCAGGTAATTAAACACCAAGTTGAACCACGAAGATTCAAACCTCGGAACAAAATATTAAAACCCTTGTTCCCTCGAGCTCCCGTCTGTTGTTCCCCCAACTTGCTGTTTTGGGGGTCGATTTGTCAACCGGGGCAGGCTAAGGGATAATATCAATTGCCTTCTATCTAATTAATCATTTGGATATTTGTAAAATATGTCATAAAATATATTCTTTTTTCGTGTTAAATTACTGCTGTTACGATTATAATTTTGCGTTAGGTACCTATATGCAAATGTGTACTCGCAGGGAAGGTGTTCAAAGCACAAACAGCGCTCTCGTAAAACGCCAGAGATGAATTCAAGGAACGCCAGCAGACACTTGATGAATCCCTGACGAAGACTTCCTGACTATGTAACCCGTACCTTTCTTCACACTTTCCGCCTACTGGGCCAGGAATAATACCAGAATACGCAGAAGTGCGACCGTGCGAAAGTAACTTAACGTTACTTTCAATTTTATGAAGTTCTGATATCCAATGAAAGAGGGAAACAATCTTTCGTTGGAAGTGGAAATGAAAATGTTCCGATATTGGTTTGGGAAAAGAAGTTTGATAAGACTCTTCAGATTCTCTATCCCAAATAATCAAAAAATAAATTAAACAAGCTTTGACCTTTATGGTATTCAAATTAAGTCTGAATGTATATACAATTATAAAAAAATGTATACCATTATTATTATAACAGTTGTTGAATTACGAAGTTACTTCCTGGAAAACAAACTGAAATTTAAACATTAAAAAAAACAAGAGAGTAATGCATAAATTGGACATATTTTTGATGTGGAACGATTCATGGGATTTTAAATGTGAAATGTTTAGTATCTTCTGTTATAATATTAAAAAACATTTAATTACATTAACGGGTAATTTCAAACTCATTTGTAAGAGCGATGCCCTGCTTTTCTAAAATAAAGAGGGCAATCCATCGTCTCTGACAAGCACTTCCGACGTTCGTGGGTATGGGGGAATATTCAATGCCTTGATTTGTTTTCTGATCCCCTTGAGATCCGAGATGATTGAGGTTCCGTTGCATCATTTGAGGACCAGATTGATTTGCTCCATTGTCACAATGAGTATAAATGCATGTTGTCAACCGTGCATCAAAGTAGACAATATGTGCTTCACGTTTCGTACAGACCCCTGTGGACTTCGTACGGCCTGAGCCTCATTTTTCTCAGGTACTCCCTTAGGGCCTGCACATGAGCGTTGCTTTGACGCGCGTTATATAACGCGCGTCGCAGAACAACACTGAACGTTATGCGAAACGGCACACGAGCGCTTTGACCGTTCCACATACTTCCAAGATACAGTGTCAATCTACGACACGCGTTTCTTATCGCGCGTCAACGTAAGGCTCGTGTGACACAGGCGTTAGGATATGGTACCTCACTTCAAATGTTGGACTACCGCACCCCCCCCCCGCCCAGAAAATTTACAATTCCATACCCTACGGAGGGATGTCAGTGACACTCCTAGTCCGAGAAAGCATCACAAACTCATCATACATTGTGCTATGTTTTATAACTCATAGAACAACAAGGAAACGAAATTTAATGCCATTTGCCTTCCAGCGGTACTTTTGGGCGGTATGGACGCTGAAATTTTGCAAAGTAAAATTATGTGTTGTGATATCACGTGTGAAATTGTGTGTGCATGCTGTGCAAAATTCACTGATTCAAAATAAGTAATTCTGCCGCCCGTTCACAGGCTTATTGCAAGCTCGCTGAGGGGGTTGACACGTCTAATTAAAATATTTTCAAGTGATGCCGATACATGTCAGAGGAACGGCAAGTTAATGTTTGTGTTAAAGTCGGTCTTCCATTGGTCGGACCGACCAGGGGTGGTCAGTTCTCGTCGATAAATTCAGGAGAGCGTGGTCAACTTCAGTACCAAAAGAGACTACTTGCGAACTAAACATTTGGGTTTTAATTGCTTTGTGTTGCTAATTGCTTGTTGGGGTGGTGCCCCGCATGGGGATGTACCTGGAGGATGCAACCACGCAAGCCGACGTGCAGGGTGGCGCTGGATCTGTCGCTCCAGCCGGGGAGGAACTCCACCAATTCCAAAGATATAACATGCACAACAGGAAGTGACTAACGACCGAAACAGTTGACGGACCCGGAAATGTCAATCAATAAATCGATCGATCAGTCTTGTTGATGTACATTAAGACGTAAAAAATGTACCACGCCCTTAATTCTTCTGCCCACATCCCAGGTCGGAGGTAGGACTGCGACATCGATGTCGCTTTTTTATAAAATTTGACATCGATTATTTCTTTTCTAACATCGAAGTTTTATATTCGATGTTTGAACGTGCTTGATATTTAATTTTTAATGGAATATGTTCTATCTTAATAAAAACCTGTAATAATTTCCAGTTATTCCAAATTGAATGTCATTCGCATCAAAATGACCAAGGATGAAAAATAAATGAAATCGACTTTTCTTGATAAATAAAATTTATATTATTTTTGAATTATCCAATCATATGTTAAAAATGTGGTTTGCCATCCTGATCCTGACTTTTTTTTCACTTAACTCTCAATTAAAATTGAATAAACGCGTCCACCTTTAAAATTTAAATCCCCGGGCGTGAACATGAATGATTAATAATCTATTTAAAAATATCGATGGTTTGGGGGCGCTGTTTTATTACCGTTCATGTTTTATTTTTGAATATTGATGTTTGGAGACATGGATGTTTTCTTGGCGATATCGCATCTCTGGTCTGAGCGACCGGCACTTCGTTACACGAACTCCTTTCCATTGACGCCGCTGCGGCCCTCACGATATTGCAAACCGACCTGCAAGTCGGCGCCGAATATCGTTTCAGCGAACGAGGAACACCACCACCTCCCGAGATATAAAATGCTATAAAATGCACGTATGGAACTAGTGGTCTTACAAGTTGCCGGGTTCGCCAACGTCATACTTCTTATTCCAGTGGCGCTTTTTCAGCAGAAACCATAGCTTGATTTCGAACTGTAATGTGTTTGCATAAACTCGCTTGTTTCACGCAAGTTGCCGCAGAGTTCCCTCTGAAATGGACGGATGCTTTGTTTTCGTTTCAAACTTACAACCTTAAAAAAACGGTTATAAATTCACTTAATTGTCCGCGGGAAATCAATCTTGTGGTACATTGAGACGTAAAAAATGAACTGTATGCCGAACTTAGAAAAGTGAATACATTCCAGGAACTCCATGATCGGAGGAACCGGGACATCTTTCTACGGGCGATCTCTTATCCGACCGCGCCGTGCGGCCTTCATCTCTTCTCGCGCTATCTGTCGCATGCGTTCGCGAGTCGGCGTCGGCGCGTCGTACGCCGTTCCTTGTCTCTTGTTGCCGGCCGTCAGCTGTTTTCGTGCTCGTGCTCGTGCTCGCGCGCGCGCGGGCGGGCGGGCGAGCGAGCGGTCGGCCTTTCTCCTCCTCCCCTCCCCCTCCCTGCCTGCGCGCCTTCCCCCCTCCACCCGCCCCGGCGGCCGCATAAATGCGCCAGATCCACGCGCGCGCGCGCATTGCTCTGGCAGAGAGGCAGGGAGCTACAGCAGTCGACGACGACCACGACGCCACCGCCCTCGCAGCGGAGAGGAGGACAGTCGCCGCCCGCACCGCGCGCCCTTCGAGACAACGGCGCCGCCTCCCGGCCGCAGAAAGCCCCGCCCGCCGCCCCCGCATCCACCGCCGACACGGAGTCCAGCTGATTCAGGTGAGGCGACCGACCGCTTCCGCGATCTGCCTCTTTCGAGTGCGCCGCAACTGTTGTTTCGTACGGCTTTGCCCGACCGTCAACCGTTTCTACGAACTTCTTAGACTGATAACACTTAACAAGTTCCCACTTACAGCTGTTGATCTGAAAAACGCGCAAATACAGTTGTGTTTCTGCGAATTCAGCCGCGGTACCAGTTCGTACTTCTTATTCCAGCGGAACAGTTTCAGCAGAAACCAGAGTTTGATTTCGTACTGGAATGCGTTCATATAAACTAGTAAGTTTCAAGCAACTTACCGCAGTTTTTCCTCTGTGAAAGACTCATGCTTTGTTTTCGGTTCAAACTTACAGCCTTTAAAAAAGGTTATAAATTCACTTAATTGTCCGCGGGCAAATAGAAGTGTCTTAGCTGTTTATTTCCGGAAATGTTCTGAGCCTCACGCTTTGAGCGAAGACCTGGTTTCCCATTCGGCTTACCTTACAAGTTTGTTTACTTGTGTTCGTATACATTAGTCAGTCAAAATAGGAATGTTGCCCTTCTGTAGTTCAAATATTCTTATCACAGAACAGGGAAGTTAATTGAATCATTGCAAATGTATTGCCTTCGTTGTGTTTAAATGAAACGAGAATCATTATAAACGAGGGACGACAACGACGGATTAATGCACAAGTGATCTAAGCACTTTCTTAGTGCCCCTTGTGGATGGGGGTCTCGGATAATATTTAAAAGTATTATGTTGGTTCAGAAACACGTAGCACTTGAAAATTAAATTAAAATATTTGTTAGTTGTTAGTTTATTTTTATCTTCATTTCGATTATGAAAGGACATAAGTGTATTTATATGCATGTAACAATTTCAATATTCTGAGGAATTGGTTAGGTGATGCCAAAGTCTCCTTCACTCACTAACCCGATGGAAGGGGTTTGGTTCGTGCGATATTGATAGTTCAAAAGTTACAACAACTTCATTAATCGAATAGATAGTTGTAGATCCTTAAACACTCAGAATGATGTGACTGTACTAAGGAAAAAAGAATCCCCTTTGTAGCGAGACGAACTGTCACGTGTCAGGAACAGCAAAATAAACCCGTTAGGTCAACAATCCTAAATACACACAAGAAACCGAACCTAACGTAACCCAATTTCGCGCGCACATCCAACGAAAAGCATCTTCCGAGCAAAAAAGATCGAAACTGTCTTGGGCCGCCCGTGTTTCATTGATACGCCCAACGCACGCACTGTTTCCAGCCGAACTCGGTCGCGTGCGGGCGAATGACGTTTCACGGCGTACGGGAGGGGTTACCCCGCTCGCCCCTCCCTCGCGCCCGTGCCTCTGCCACAGCCGTCTCCGCGACGCCTGTGTATCGATCAAACTTGCGGGCAACTTTACCCAAAGTGGACGAGCGTCCGCGCCTAGGAATTCCAACCAGCCGGCCTCGCCTCGCCTCGCCGCGCCGTGCGGTCTGCGGCAAACGGGCAAAGTTCTCCACTGCGACCTTCCTGTGCGCGCGGAACGCGGTTCCGACTCGGCGGCGCTGGCTTTGTGTCGCACCGCGGCGCAGGCGCGGTCAAAAGAGGACGGCGTGGCGTGGCGTGGCGTGTGGCGAGGGACGCCGGAAGCGTGGAGTGGAGTGGCGCTCTGTGTGTGTGTGTGGGGGGGGGGGAGGAGTGTCGCCGTTGTCTCTGCCCCTCCGTGTCACGCCTGGGGCGCGTGCTCGACCCCCAACAGCACCTGGTAGGAGCTGTCAGACTTTGTTTCCAGCTTATCAACAAACAATGCGTAAGCAACTTTCTCAAGGGGAGGTTCCTCTTTCTTTTGGGTTGTTGAACGACCTTCTTTGGTATGGAGTTTCTGTACGATCGCGCTACGCTTAAAGTTTTTCTCTTTGCTTTTTTTATTGATTTTTTTTTTTGGCGTGTGGTTTCACGCCAGCGAATAACTGATGTCAAAAATGTAAGAGAAGAGTTCTTTTTTAAAAAAAAGTAAAACGTGGCTTACATTTGCAATATTGTTTCAATCTGATGTTCCAGTGGAAAATTCGTTTTTAAAATGCCTTATAATTTGAGATCTGACTCGAATGTCAGGTGTCATTCCCATATTTCCAGTACAGAAGGTTACAGTGTATTGGTAACAATATATCCGTAGCAATACAACTCGTGTTTGATAGGTATTTCACAACCGAGAAAAAAATGCGGGTGTAGGCAACTGTACATTGTAAGATAAAAACTCAGGTAAAATATTATTTTATAAATGATTCTTCTGAAAAACCTTTTAAGACGTTCCAAAAGATATCTTCATGAAAACTGGGAACAAAACGAGTTTTGGTTTGCATTAAATTAAAGTGTGGCAAAGGTTTGTACAAATAACTGAACATTGTGGACAATTTTCTTTTTTAAAGATATACTTGTCAACTTTTGTAATTTGATATATATTTAAAAAAATGCATATCCTAACTTCTTGAACCATAACAAGCAAATAATGAAATGATTTAACTATGAACTTGTTTACTAGAAACGAATAACTTCAAAGAGCTTGTTTGTTTCTAATAACAGGCGAGTCATTACTATTCTTTGTTTAGAAGACACGCGATGAATGCATTTAACGTGCCGACACATTCAAGTAAATAGTGCTTCCGTTCTGCTCACGTGCGGTGGGGAATTCCCACAAAACTTGGGAGTAGCGAACGACCCATGAGGGGGGCTCTGGGCTCTCTTGGCAGCGTCAGCTGTGAGCGAGAGCGTGCGTGTATGCGTGTCTGCTGAGGCCTACGCGCACGCGCAACGCACGCGCCTCTGAAAAGGGGAGGAAAGGAAGGGGAAATGGGTCACGGCGGCAAGACGGCGCCGATAGCAGGGGCCAGAGAACTCGCCGAAGCGCACGACGCGGCGACGGAGCAACAAGTCCTCCCCTCGTCCGAAACCCATACAGCCCGATCTATACGAGCGCGGAGGGCGGCAAAGCTGGACTACACGGCAGTGGCGGCGGCGGCGGCGGCGGCTGGGTCGTTGACACGTGGGGAGAGGCCCTCGATAAAGATCGATACTCTTCAGCTTTTAAAAACAAAAACAAGAGAAGGAATTGAAAACTGGAAAATTTGTCAGGGTTAAGAGCACCGAATGCTTTATGAGAGGCGTTTCTTAGAGAACGCGTTTGTTATTATTGAATTTATAATACGTAGAATGTTTTGTTTACGAGCCTAAAGGGTATTGAGAAGGTCACGTACATTACAGGGTTTTCTTTGCGTGTAATAGGGGGGGTGCTTTCAGATCAGGTGCAAAACTCTTTTAACTCATGTGTGTGCCTTTCTATTGTAATAGTGTAATAACTAAAAGAAAATGAAGATAATTAAAAAGGAAATGATCTTTCAAACTTCTGCCTCTGCAATGTTGACTTGAATTATCAATATACGCGGAATTCGAAGTGCAAAAGCATTCGCGACTCTCCTGATTAGTCTACTTTGACTCCTCATTACAAAAGCTCCAATAACTACCTCCCTCTCGCTCCCCACTTCGTGAAAATCTTCCACTTCATGTTCGGGAAATACTTTCTCACTATCGCTCTATTTAATTATGAAGATGTTAAATCTGGAATTAACGTAACTTAGTCTCAAGTTACGAGAACTGTAATCTTTTGAAATGCGAATGATAAATAACACAGAAATGGAGAAAAAAATACATGTATTTTTGTAAATAAAATTATTGTAGAATTCTTGGCTATACGAATTGATTCTGGTTTTTATCCAATAAATGTTTTATGGAGTTCCCGAAAATCAGCCAGAGGTCTTGATCATACTTTCTCATACTCGTGCATTTTCTAAACGACGTCACAAATACTAGGAATTTATTCCTAAATAATATTGATTGAAACTTGAAATAGGTCTCTTTCAATGTGTAAAACAAATCTCAGAATTTCCTGATAACTAAAATGTAAATTATGCATAATTTATGTATTCGATTGGTGAAAATATTACGTATGATGTAAATGCAAAATTATGATTTACATTCGTTCTGAAATTTTAACGATTTTCGAAAAAGAATTACCGAAACTGACGCGTTGCGTTGTAGTCGGAAAAGTACTCCAAGCAGCGTGTAAACTTGCTACGTGAATTATTTGAATTGTCTTCAGAAAAAATTGATTATTTCTATTTACAAAATGTATCTCGAGAAACTGAATTGAATTCTAATAATATAGTCTCGAGAAGCAATTGAAAAAAAATATAAAAGTCCAAAGCGATGTTTTCTTTAGTAAATATTGATCGGAATATAGATTATATTCAGTTTACATTGGGATTTGGCTTCAGTGGTGTCTGGCACAACATAGCACGTCACAACCGTAGGGGTTCAAAGGGATGTTCACAACGTAAAATCGACAAGTTCTGGCCAAAACAGACGCTTCACTCGAGCTGACAGAGGTCTGCAATCAGTAGCACCCACATAGGAGAAAAGTAAGTTTCGGCTGTTTGCTTCAAACTTTGTAACTTCTTTCTCTCGAAAAAAAGTTTGCTTTTTTTAAGAATGTCATAATTTTTAACTGCTCAACTTAATATTTAATGTAGCCGTATCTCAATATGTTATCAGAGATTTCGTGTTAGTTACTTCATGTTATTTTCGTAATCAAATTACATTCATAGGTTATTACAGATATTCAGTTCTCATTTAAAAACAAAAGCAGAAGCTTCACTTTTTTAAAAAAATGGGCTTAATGAGACAAATAAGCACATTAAATTCTCCATACATTGTTCCCGATCATTAAAAAAACTTCTGGAAGTTGACCTTTAAGTACCTACATTCGTAAATTCATTTTTATGTCCTTCTCGGATGTTTTGACGACTGTATAAACCTTCACATTTGCGTGTACAATCGCTTGGAATCTGGCGGACAACGAAAATTATGGCGCGGTTTCCCTAGCAATTTTGTTTAACGACGGGGTCGTACAGAAGCGTTACAGCGCAATGGATCGCAAGACTTCCTGCCCCAGGGACGGTCGCCTAGAGGAGGG